AAGATGGAATTGTTATCCTCTGGTCAGCCCTGATTAAAAAAAAGTGAGATCCCCTTCTGCTTTCCATTCCATGGTTCTTGTGTGACCAGCTTTCAGTGCAAGCATTGAGATCAGCCATTACCTCTAGAATATGTTTGCTGTTTTATTAAGATGTTTAGTAGGCCTAATACCACCATTGGAAGCACAGCTTTATCTACTGACCTTATGACCAAGCTTACATAGGAGCTAGCTGAACCAGTGACATTTACTTATAAAGACCAGTAGTAAGTTTGCATAGACAAATTGTCAGGATATTAAAAATTGCCTCTTCAATCTTCACATTTTATTAAGAAGTAAATTGCACCAAGTGAGAGTGTTTGGTTGTGTATGTCAGTCCATGGGATCTCTAGGGCTGTGTGATTGAACCCTGCTGTTTGCTTTGCAGGGAACGGTTCATTTCCAAATTGATTTAGGTTATGAGCAAATGGCGTTTGGTGCAGAATTGTTCAATCATTGAAGGCTGCAGATGCTATTTTTCTCAGTAAAAGGATGGAAGACCGACCCCTTCTCAGTTCTAGAACAGTGTACTTTTAGCTTTAGAACATTGTTATCTCTTTGCTTCTTGAAAATGACAAGAAGCTCATTGGCTAAAGTCAAAAGCATTTTAGCATGTGCTTAATAAGGGAGGATTAAAAAGGAAGAATTCCGTTTCATAAATCTTGAGCTTTCGACATTTAATTAGCTCAGTATGGGAACAAAACCATGTTTTGAAATTTTCATTCCAGGTGAGTGCCCTAACCACTGTGCTATTGGCTATATTGGGGTAGGTGCCTCTCTTGTTTTGACCAGAAATTCCATCCTGGACCTAAGAAACTTTTGCAATGAAAGTTTCATTGAAACTAACGTATTTCAGCAAAAACTTTCGGTTTTGATGGTTTTGGTAAAAACACGTTGCCAAAAAATTCTCAACCAGCTTAAGCGCTTTGCTAAACAGGATGGGTTGGCTGAATTAGGGGCATATATGCCCTTTAATTTGTAAGTATGAACAGCATTTGTGTACCTTCACAATGTTTAAAAATCTCCTATATGCAAAATAATGTATTTTGTTTGGGAGAAGATACCTGTAAGCATTCAGATGCCAGTTCTACTTTCTTTAAATAGTTAATGATCCAGCAAACTTTTTTTTTTTTTTAGCGCACACACAATTATGAATTCTATATGCTGCTGAAATTTAGAATATGTTCTGCTTTAAACAATATTCTCTTTTGCTTTCAGCACAGATCTGTACTTGGTTTATTTTTTTGCCAGGCCTTTTCAAAGTGAAGACCTTTAGCGGACAAAATTTTAAGAAGATAGACATTTAGTTCAATAGAAGAATTTTCTTGGCGTGAAAAAATAAATTTACAAGAAGGACTGTGCTTCTAAAAGATAATTAATAAAAACCTTCCATGTGATGACAAACTTGACATCTTGTCTAATGTCTGGAAGAGAAGAAAGTGTTTGGAACTGCACAGCTAGAATAAAATGTTCCATTTCACAGCAAGGCCAGGCCTGCATTTTATAATTATTTCAGAGAGTAAAGGTCACATTCTGTTTGCTAAGTTGACATTACACGAGTCCTGTATACTAGACTTTCAGAAGTGAACTATGGCATATTTAGAACATCCTGATTTCACAGCCAACACACATTATCTGAAATTACTGACCTAGATGATATCCAAATCAGTTTTCCAATCCTAATCTATGTTTTCCAAGGCTACAAACTAGAATTCAAGATTCCAGAGGCTAGGCGATCAAGCTATGATTTACTGCCTCTTTTATATCCACCGCCATGTATTTTTTTTTTTAGCAGCAAAGTCATGTTTGTAATTAATTTTATCTTTATCATTGAAATGTATGTACTTTATGGGCTATTCTGCCAAACTGGGGTGGTTTTGCAACACTGTGTGGTTCACTATTTGTGTCTTGACATGGGAGTACAGGAAGGAATGGCAAATTTTATTCTGCACTAATTTATGCTGTGTGCAAGCCCATTCGTTGGAATCATGTGTCATCTGGGCCTAATCTTTAAAAATACATTGTTGCAGCTCTGTGCAGAAAATGCATATGTAAATATATAATGCCGACAGACCCTGATCGTCAGGCAGGATCAAACCTGAGACCTTTGGAACTTAATACACAAGTCTCTACTGCATGAGCTAAAAGACACATTTCTATTAGCCATGGCTGTAGCAAGCTTATCAATCTCTAGTTGATCTAGGTGCCACTACATGCGATACTTTATCTGCATCAAGCTGGCATGGGTTACATGCTTCATTTTCATGCATTATTACTGTGGACTTGCATCCAGATGGAGTAGCTGCACATGCAAATGGCTGGTTACATGCATATCTGGCCACTTCTGTGCATTAAATAACTAATTTGCAATTTTGAGTGTAGGCTTTGAAAATCCGGACTTTACTGTGTGAGTTCTTGTTACAGAAGGACATTGGAGGGCAGAGTGAGGCACTGTGGGACAATTTCTTAGCTGTGTAAATTGGAGAATCTCCTTTAAAGTCAATGGAGTTATGCTGATTTACACCTGAGGATCTTGCCCTTTGTTTGCAGGTTGCTGTTTATTAAGAGAAGAAAGGGAACCAGCAATAGCATGGGAGACATGACAATCTTGCAAAGTGGCTTAGGCTAGGTCTACACTACCCTCCTGCAGGTAGAAATCAATCTCTCGGGGATCGAATTATTGCGTCTCGTCGGGACGCAACAATCGATCCCCGAATCGACGCTCTTACTCCACCAGCGGAGGTGGGAGTAAGTGCCGTCGACGGGGAGCCGCGGAGGTCAATTTTGCTGCCGTCCTCACAGCGGGGTAAGTCGGCTCTGATACGTCGAATTCAGCTACGCTATTCGCGTAGCTGAATTTGCGTATCTTAAATCGACCCCCCCCCTGTAGTGAAGACCTGCCCTTAGACTCTGCTTGCTTGCGCTCTCTTTCTTTCTCTTGGTTTCTTACTTGAACAAAGGGGCAAATGCGGTGCATGTCATTAAGGATGAGAAATGTGCCCATCTGCCACATTTGCACTCTGCCAATTGGATTGTCACGAAACATTCTGTCTATTGCACACAGTGTCTGTTCATGTCTAGCTGGCCTCTTACAGCAAGTGTTTATGTGAAATAGACTGCCCAAGAATCCGTTTCAATAAGAGCAACTGATATAAGAGCAGGTGGGATACTGTCCTCCCTGTGCTTTGAAAGACTGAGTAATATAAAGCCAACAATGACTCTGTAGTGCATCAGGATTTTCTGTATGGAAAGAAAACCCGGGTAGCATTTTGATTCTTAGACAACAGCAAACAAGGGATGGCTAAGCAGGCAGCATGCTAGCCTAAGAATGATCATAATAATCACTTGTCCTCTGAACAGAGAAACATGGCAAAGAGGTTTATCTAACAAAGGTAGCACTGAAGGCGCTATGCTGGAGGACCCTGTTCTTAGTCTATAGGGAGGAGGTTTATTTGCTGGAATAGTGTTACATCACTGAAAATGATGAGCTCGTCTCTCATTGGCAGGTCAAGCATTGTAGGTAGCTACTGAGTATAAGGGCTCTTTCATGTGGGGATTGCATGTCAACATTACCTTTTTGTACTAATGGAAGTCAAACGTATCATTTTCTCTTTGGTTACTCTGGTCTTCCTTTGGGTGTCCAACTGGAGACATTTTAGGCGTCGGTTTAAACTAATGAGAGTCGTAAGTGATCTGCATCTCTGAAAATCAGGACCAGAGGAAACCCCCAAAATGGGGCCCAATGCATTTGAAAATTTGGGTGCTTATATTTGGGTATGGAAAAGTAAATTTGTCCTCCCTGCTACCTTGGATCTGACTCTTCTTTTTTTGTGCTTCATTTAACCCTTGAACTTTCTGTGCCTTTTTTTCTTCTCCACTCTTTCTGTGACTTTCCTACCTGCTCCGCCGCCATTTAAAGTCCACCAAAGAAAATAGTCTTTCAGCTTGTTGTCTCTATTCAGTGATAGAACACAAATCTTCTGAAACAGAGATTGGCATTATACCTATTCCCAACCAATTTTATTTTGTTTTTAACCTCCCTCCCTTGCCCAGATGTTCCTGTGGTGACAGTGGGCTTTGGTGATCAGATACTAACAGTGACACAAGCTGTATTTAACTTTAACCTTCAGATCCAACTACAGAATGATGTACACATTCCATTTTCAATCTTCCACTGGGGTAAACAACTTTTTGATTATGGGGAAACCGGACAAATTGTAGCTTTGTGGGGGTGGGGAATTGACATTTTCCATCTGCTGCCAGAGTTTATACAAAGGAAACTTTTGTGACATGAAACTTTGCCCTTGAACAAAAGACTTCTTCACTAGCTCAGAGATTTACTAAACTAACCTAAGCTTATAGGCCTTGAGTCAGCAAATAACGTAAGAATACTCCAGCCCTATTTATACGTGCTTATGTCCCGTGACTTCAGAAGGACTTAAGAACACACTTAACTTTAAGCAGGTGCTTAAGTGCATTTCTGAATTGAGCATTATTAATCTTGGGTACATCTGCACAATGTGGGCCTGGGGCAATGTGAATGGTGGCTCAGGCTAACTGTCCACGTACATACCACAGGGGTTGGGCAGTATTGTATTCAGGCAGTTAGGCCATGTTGCTACACTGCTATTTTCAGTATGCTATCTTGAGCAGGGCTAGTGCATGTCTGTTTACCAAACTGGGCATTACCCCACCAGCTGCAGTGTAGCTGTATCTTTAGACATATTATTTTTTTGCACTCTCGATATCTGCCTGTGTATATGCTGATTGAAACTTCTCGCGCAAAGCAATGGTTAGAAAGTTTTAAAGGGAAGCTGGGATGTGCTGGATATGTGGGTGGGTTTTTTGTGTGTGGTTTTTTTTTTTTTAAATGAACATTGAGTCCAAACTTGTTACCATTCATGAAAGCCAAGAAGATTGGTGAGCAAGTGGATATTAAAAGTCCGTTCCCTCTATTTCCTCAGGTGCTGTTGCTTGTATTTGCAGAAGATTTAGAATGCATCCCCGGATTCCAGCAAAAGGTTTTTCATATTGAACAGCCATCTGAATTCACAGAGGACCAGCCAATTCTGAACTGTAAGACGTGTAATTTTCATATGTCATTTTTGCAAAAATCTGTATTAACCACAGTCTGTGTGTTTTTCGTATCACACTGAATTTATCAGAGAGCTCTTCCTCCTTATAACATGATTCCAGGCATAGCTTCCACCTGGGTACTACAATAGCTCCTCCCCTCCCCTTAAAATCCTTTATTTATACAGATTTTGAACTTTGCTATGAATTAGGGTTGGCAAAATTCTGCACATTTATCTGTTGGGGTTTGAATATTTACATGGAAGCTTAGGCTCATCCTCTGATTTTTATGAATGAGTCACCTCCTGCATTTCTTTGCCTTTCCTGCTGTATCAGTACTTGACTGTAGACAAGGATCTTGACTTGCATTTCAGTATAAATTCCTTCTTCCTCCCTGGTGTGCATCCATTCCAGGAGCCTGACCCAAAGCCCATTGACATCAATGAGAGGCTTTCCATAAAATTTTGTAGGCTTTGGATCAGGCCTGAGTTTCAAAAAGTTATCACCATCTCTTCTGTGATCTAAGCAGTTGATCTGGTGGTCCAGTCCCTTTTCCAACGGACAGGTGTCCACATCACAAAAACTACCACCAGAGCTGAGCTGGCATTGATTCTTGGCACCGTACACTCTACCCAGACAGGGCAAAGACTGAATGGGCCATGGAAATTTAACTCTTCTTTCAACCCTAGAGTTTGTCTTTCCGGGTACATTAATGATGCAATGTTGTGAAGCTTGCACTGCTATTGTTCATTCTGTATTGGGACCTGTTCTGAGGATTTGAGACTTCAAGGCTGTCAATCTAATATGGTACCTAATGTGAGCTTTAAATATTGATAAAAAACTGCATTTTCCCCATAATTCATGTTATTTAGTAGCCTTTTCATTTGATCACATTTGGTTCAACAGCTGAAATTAACAGTTCATATGTAATAACATTTATGTGAAAGTAAGATTCAGAGTTTGGATCAAAAATAAAAAGCAATAAAATTCAATTTAAGGAATACCTTTCTCCTCTCCATCCCCTACTTATTTAAGATTATATTGTGAGTGAAAGTATTTGCTCTGTTTTGCAGTTTATATCAAATCTCAGATACATGTGTGGTTAGATGTTTGGCTACATGTGTGTGTGTTCTCCCTGTGTGCTGTCCCAGCTCTGTGCAGACAGTTGGCACAGCAGACCTCGAGCAAACTGCCCAATAACCACAAGAGCTGTTAAGGTACGAAGGCACCCGACCAGGTTTATTGTCGACAAAACATGGTAATAGCACCTGGCAGACTCTATGAGGATACTAAGACATGTATGCCCGTGACAATGGATGCAGCTTGGTCAGTGGTGGGGCTTTCCACTGCCCCCTAGGCTGGCCAAAGATACTCACTCTGAGATGCATCTTTATACCCTGATATAAACAAGTTACATACTGTCATCCTGACCTTATGTTTTAGAAAGCATCAGTGTGTTTCTGTTATCCTTGGGGAATGTTTTGTACCATCCTTGATATCGGGATGTTCTGATACCACTTGATATTGGGATGTGTTTGTGTGAGTACTCTGTACTTAGCACCTCTCAGCAATGTGTATTTCTACAATATCAGTCCTATTCTTGCCAGATTTTGTGAGCAGGTCCTGCCTTATACCAGGCCTCTGATACAAGGGCTTATCTTGTATCTCAGGCTCTCTTCCTACTACAACATGTACTATAATTTTGTCACCAGGGGCCAACTGAAGTCAAAGGAAAGACTCCCATTGACTTCAGTGAGCTTTGGATTGGATCCAAATTTAGGGTCAACTTTTCTAAAGCACTTGAGAGACTTAGGTCCCTAAATTCCATCTCCACAAGTGACTTAGGCAATACATTTTATTCACTTTCAATGTGATTTGGGCTTCTAGGTGCCTGAGTTGAAGCTGGAACGTAACATCCTAAGTTACTTAGGCATTTTTGAAGATGTTGCCATTATGCACTGAAATGAGTTGCCAGATTTTCAGAGGTGCTGAGCACCTTCTGGATTCCATAGAGTTCAGGTGTTCGCTTTCTTTAAAAGAAGACCAGCAATTTGTTGAACAGACATAGCAGTCAAACAGCATAATGTTGGGGGTTTCATGGCCTCAAAGGATAAAAATGTCCACATGTTAAAATTTAGTAAAATGCAAATAACCTTTATTGTCTCTCTCTTTGGCTGTATCTGAGTACTTTGATGCCTTAGCACGTCTGTCCAAATCTCTCGCTGATTTGTCCTCGGTCTGTTCAGCAGTATAAAGGACAAACTGTTTAAGACATTGTTGATTGGGCTACATTGTGGTGACCTGCAAATTGCACTGGTGTGAAACTGACACAATAATTAAGACATTATTAATTTTAAGAGGGGGAAGAGCAGGAGGGAAAATATCTCAAAACAATCTTGGGAATTAAATTATTTTAATAATCAGATGCTAAATTAGTCTAATACATAACATGCGACAAAGACAGATTGTCAATGTGCAAGTCTAGCTAACTCAATCACTCATAAGTAGTGTGTCCTGGATGTGACAATATTAAATCTGTGCATAGTCTTTTCAGTCTTGTCTTCAGTGGAATCAATATTTTTAATTGTGCCTGTTTAAATACACTTTGCATGCTGTTGCATTATTTTTATACCCATTACTCAACAGCAGTATAATTTAACAGTTGTATCTGAATGTGAGGCCTACCATGAGTATGTAAATTAATAGAGCCAGTATGCAAAGCAGGTCTATAACGGTGATTGCTTTTGTAGTCTTCAATAAACCAAGCAGCTTTTAATTCTCCACTGAAGAGCAGGGAAACAATCATATTTGTTTTTTTGATCTTTTTAATTTCAACAAGAACATACTGTATATTCCATTGCCAGTGTTTCCTCCAGTAATTAAGTATGGGTTATAGTTGTTTCTTATGTATTTACTAGTTGGCCATAAATGCAGCTATATTCATTATACATGAAACTTATTGGAAAAAAGAGAGACCAAAGCTAGAGGCATTTATTTCTTTTTTTATTTGCATGCGTTCTGGCAATAAAAAAGTTATTTCACATATTCAGCAAACTTTTAAATACCTTCAGAGAAGAAATACAATGAGCTGAAGCATAGGACTCCGAAGAAAATAATATACAATAAAAGAACCGCTGCAGCTTTTAACCTACGTGGGAACTATTTTAGGAGGTTGACAAAGGAAAGTATATTTATATACAGAATACATAAAAGATGAACCAAGGACAAATGAAAAGCAACATGGAATAGAGAGCTCAACAGAGCTAGGCAAGGAGATCTAAGGTCGTGCTGCAGCTAATCTAGGTGAATCCATTCTAGCCTTAGAAATTATTATGAATTCAACAAAAATAATGTTTAGAAAATACCCTACTCTAAGGAAGATGTGGAAGGCAGGAGTAAGAGACACTGAGATTTGCTGGAAATGTGGCAGATAGGATCTGAAGGGTTACTCTTGGTAGCAGTTCCTCAGTTGCAACCAGGCTTCATGAAAAGTGCAGGGAAGAAAGCCTAGCCCCACTGAAGTCTATAGGATCATCGCGGCTCTTGCCTTGGGAACGAGCTTCTTCCAGAGTTTCACCAAAGCCTGGGTTTGGTCAACTTCAGGGTACACTTTAAAGCTATTCTGTTCAATCTTCAATGAGGCCTCGAGTTAGAAATCTTTTACCATCAATGCAGATCCTAGCTTTTTTTTTGGTCACTTGTGAGTGTTCAGTTAAAGACACTAATATTTTTAGTGTTCATTTTTGTTATGGCATGCCCAGAAAATGTGGCAGTGGGTGTAATGTGTAGGACCACTTGAATATAAATCTATAGGGTCAAATTCAGCCTTGATGTAATCCTTCTGTAATGCAAATGGTTAATAATAAGAATAATTGGGGTTTTGTGATAACAATAGATTAGAGAACATGGTCTAGTTCAGTGCATTCAAGAAGTTGTTCCAAACCCCTTTCTCACCCTTAAAGAGGTTCCACATGCATTGGATCCTATGAGTGAAAATCTGTTGTGTGACATATTGCGTTAGCTTGCTCTGACTATTGGTGTAGCACTGGCAGCAGAGAGCAGTGGAACAGGCTAGGTGTGCTGAGTACATACCCATGGGGTTCAGGAGCATTTGTACTCTGCACGGCTAGTTCATGCCACCGCTTGCCGCTGTCTGTGTTACCCTGGCTATTACTGTTTATAGCATGCTAGCTTGATAAGAGCTAGCGTGAGTAGGCCTATGCGAGCTGGGAATCACACGCCTAGTTGATAGCATAGATGTAGCCTAAGAAGCCACTGGCTGACAATAACTTAATAGCTGATCTCCACTCTCCCTCCCATTCCTCAATGGAGGCAGGATTTTGGAAGCATGTTGCATAGCACCCATCCACTCGCCCCTCTCCGTAGTAGCAGGGGTTGGGAAGGAGGTTTAGTGCTGCCAGTTCTCATAATTTTATTGTGAGCCTCGTGATATTTAGTGATTTTCTTTAACCCCAGGTTTCTGGAGTCATGAGATTGCATCCAATTCTCAGCTTCCATTTAAAAAAAAACAAATTATGTTTCTAGCCTTCCATGTTGGAGAAAAGTGGGAAAACAAATTCACTGTTAAAGCTCAGAAACCCCCCAAAAAACTCATGAAAAGAAACCAAACTGCTTTTTTTTTTTTTTTTTTTTTAAATCTCATGATTTTGGGTAGGTGGGTGGACTAAACTCATGATTTTAGAAGTAAAAATTGGACACAACGGGCCAATTAGTGTAGCTGTAGGAACCTCTTGGATCACACAAGCTAGAGTCCTACTAAAATGATATTGCTTCCTACCTCCCTATTAATGGCTATCTCCATTTCAAGTTGCTGTTTAAGGTTCACTAAAGAAATCAGTTTGTTTCCTATTCTGAGGAAACCAGGTGGACTTGTGCCTAGACTATCATTTGCCCCTAGGATTAGGCAGCAGGCTTGTTTTGCTTTCAACTTCTTGCTCATTGACCATAACTACTACACATGTTCTGTTGCATACCCATGACCT